ATGGTCAATACACGTAATACTTCCCTCTAAATTTCTACTCTGAATCATGCTTGAAAGACAAATGTTTAAGTGAAACATTGAAACGCTTATTTAAATAGAGAGAGGGAGAGAAAAAGAGTGAGAGAGGGGGAGGGAGAGAGAGAGAGAGAGCAATAAAAAAAAGAAAGAAATGAAACAGGGCAACTTACTCATTTCACGCATGCGCATTCCATTTTGGCCAACTTAAACTCAGGAGAGTTGCGTTGCTGTATATACTATGCTTATGTGAAGTAGACCCCGAAATTGTATGGTAGTTCTGCGCATACGTCATGAATATACTCAAAGGAATGCAGTATGACTGTTTTGCATCAATTGTTTACATACCAAACGTATAAGCACGGAATAATAAGATCAAACTGAAGATCTGAAAGTGGATTTGAAACACCGTTAGAAAAACCTATAGAAAATCCGGCAGACGTTTTAGTGCTATCACGCCTTACGGAAAAAGTTGGAAGTATTACTGCCACGTGGTCATAGGTCACATGTATGTATCTACTATATATACTACTATGTACATGCATACATACATGTGACCTGTAACCACGTGACAATCAATATTTCTAACTTTTCCCACAAAGCGCGATGGCACTAAAATCACATCTGTCAAATTTTCCATGGGTGTTCCTATACCGTGTTTTGAACCCATTTTTTGTGACCGGCCGTTTAAGTTTGATTTGCTTCTTATTACTCCGTGCGTATAACCTTATAAAAGTGGTGTGATCTTATAATGAAAAATTTTGTTTCTTTTGGAAGAGAAAAAGTTCAAATAAAAAGGTAAAGATATTGAAAAGAAAATTGAATATTAGTAAACATGTATAGAAGATGCGATCTTATTCAATTTCTTATAGAAATATTAGAATAATTTATATTAGAATAATTTATATTAGATTAATAATTTATAAATTAATAATTTCTATTAATAATTTATAATAGTTGGATTATGAAAATAAGTATTTGGTAGTTTTAATACTGTTAAATTAGGTTAATCTGTCAAAATAGTGTGCTGATGTGTGCGCATGTGCAGATTACGTCACGTGATCACGCGGAGCAGTTCTCGACGCATGCGTATAATGTCACATCAAAATTCACTTTTTCAAATAAGTTAGCAGTCTAGTAGTATATATAGAAGTTTGTGAACAAACCTTTTATAAACGTTCTCTAATTCAATCATCATAATTGCCAACGGTGAGAAACACAGAAAAGGAAGAGAGAGAAAACATTCTGATATATTATACCAGGAAGATAGACTAATAGCTTCTGCACACAGAACGCGGCAACACTTGCCGCGCGGCAGAAGTTGACACGATAGCCAATCAACGTCTCGCTTGCTCGGAGTTACGAGGACTGGCTATTAAATAACGAGACTGCGCGCGCAGAAGGCGTCCTAGAGGGGTAGGGTGGGAAACGAATGCAGCGTTGGATAGCTGGAAGGGTCTACTATTCCAGTACGAAAACACGTTTTTGTCGCAGTAGTAGTATTTGTTCTATAGAGGTTAGAAACGAACTTGTTTTTTTCTCGTGCCGATAACAAGGTGTGACGAAAAACACGAGCAACGGATCAATGTGAAATTTCTCGTTAAATTAAAAAAAACTCCGACTGAGTGCTATAAGTTGTTGAAAGAGGCCTATGGTGAGAATTTTCTATCTCGTGCGCGTGTTTTCGAATGGTATAAACGGTTTTCTGAAGGCCGAGAGAGCACCGAAGATGACCAACGTCCAGGTCGACCTGTCTCTGTTTCAACTCCGCAAACAGTGACCAAGCCATGCTAATCGTTTTTTTCGACATCAACGGCATCGTGATGACTGAATGGGTTCCAGAGGGTCAAACTGTAAACCAAACTTACTATTTGACAGTTTTGGCAACACTGCGAGAGCGAGTTTGTAAGAAACGGCCGGAGTTGTAGAAAAACAAGTCGTGGATCTTACACCAGGACAACGCACCTGTCCATAACGCGCTGTCTGTGAAGCGTTATTTAGCCGCTAGAGGCACTCCAGTGCTCGAACACGCGCCGTACTCGCCTGATTTAGCACCCTGTGACTTTTTTCCTGTTTCCGAAGATCAAGTTTGCCTTAAAAGGAACCCGGTTCGAGTCGATGGAAAAGGTGAAGCGAAAATCGGCGGAGCTCCTAAATGTTCTTACAAAAGAAGACTTCCAGCATTACTTTGACCAATGGAAAAAACGAATGGAACGGTATGTTGCGAGGGGAGGGGAGTACATTGAAGGGGAGCATTCAATTGTAGAATAATTTTTAAAATAAAACTCTTTTTCATAAGCAGTCTCGTTATTTAATAGCCAGACCTCGTATAAGGAGCTATAAGAAGACTCCATTTACATTAATAAAAGTGGACCCATTTTGAGTTTCGAATTAAGTTTCGATTTCGACACTCGTGCTTGTGAGCTTAGTATGCCTGCGCATAATGAGTGCGCTGTAGGAAAAAGTGTCACGAACGTAACTTAACCCCGTAGAGGCGATTTTGTCTGTGGTTAATCTTCCTTTCTGACAATTCTGATAAAGATTAATTGCAAGCAAAATCGTCTTTACGGGGTTAAGTTACGTTTGTGACACTTTTTCTACGGTGCACTCATGCACACAACCTCCAAGCTCACAAGCGCCGCGAGTGTCGAGAATTGAAACTTAAAATGGATCCATTTTCTGAGC